GCAACCCGATAAATACGCGCTAGACAATCGTGCCCGGAAGTTGACTTGTCATCCAGGGCGCATGAGGGCGCAATGAGACTTACCCCGTTCCCAATTCCAGGGCGCATGGGGGCGCAATGAGACTTAATGAGTTAAATAAATTATTAACTAAAAATAATGGTTTAACAGTCAAAACATTGAAGCAAATGGTCAAGTCAAACATATCAATATACAGTAAGTCACTGATAAGTAACATGGAGTGATAAAAATCAACTGACCATTATATATACAGGCCTGGACCTGGGTTTCGGTGGTGCAATGGTACGAGCAATAATTTTGGTTATTAGCTCAACAATGTATATCAACAATGTTTGCAATTGCATGCATCCAGCATGCCCATGCAGGCCATCGGCATGTTGTCCAACACCAAGGAATATAAATACAATGTATTCTCATGGAGACATATTGGAGGGCTCCCATATTCAACCCATGACACCGAGCTGTGTCCTCCGCAATACATACTTTGAATATACATCATGAATACTTCTTTGGCCTGAGAGCCTCGCTTAGATCATGAGTTGTTAGCCAATCACCTAAGGCTCCCATGCCAAAAAAGTATTCATGATGTAATTACATATGGAAAGGATGTATTGCGAAGGACACAGCTCAATGTCATTGAGTTGAACACAGGGAGCCATTCAGCTTTACTATATAATAGTGTGTATGAGAAACAATTGTCTATTAGTATTTTTGCACAAGCAAATATAACAAATCCTGCAAGTTGACTGGTCAAATTTGATGTATTAATTAAGCTGTTTTTTTCACCTACAGGTGAATACATATAACAAAACCGAAATTTTCAGAATGGCAGCTAGCGGTTTTGTGGAAGTTACTGAATGATGAAGAAATAAGCGGAATTAAAATAAATTCAGTCCCAAAAAACACAAAAGGCTTGTGTAAAAATACTAAAACAATTATTCGCCTTAGGCTCGGTGATTATCGGGGAATATTCACCACGACTTCGTCTCAAAGAATATTTCCCGATAATCACCTCGCCTTTGGCGAATAATTGCTAAATGTTCATATACATTTTATTTCAGCTGAATTTTCACCTAAATGTTCCGAACTTCGTTCCAAAGTTGGCAAATTTGTTGCAAAATTCGAAAGTTGCCAAGATTTGTTGTGAAGTTCAAAAGAAATCATATTCACAAACCGGTTTGTAAACTAAGCCTTTGGTTGGCTTCTTTTATTTCTGGACCAATCAGGGACATACAAATCAGCTTGCTGAATTTTAATATGAACTTTCGAACTTTGCAACAAATTGGCCAACTTCAAAACGAAGCTTGGAACATTTACGTGGAAAGTCAACTGGAATTGGTGGCAATGTGCCCAGACGTGCCCCTTGGATTTACTCTGTCTAACACCAGACAATTTTACTTATTAGTGTTAGCTAGGGTACAGCCAGTGAATGGGTTGATACTTAATATAATTATTTGTATGATCATCCATTTGTAATATTATAGAGGCATTTATAAAGACATGCATACAACAGAACAAAACTAAACAAAGACCAATTCAAATAATATGGACATTTTTGTCCTCATCTTCAAAATGCCAATATTAAAACCTGTTATTCAATATAAACAGTCAATGGATAAAGCCATTCAGATGAAATGGTTTATAGGAAATCAATGAAATTGTATTTAGTACTTACACTACAAGCTTTGGGCACTTTTTGTTTGTTCTGTCCGGTCTGTCTGACTCGTCTCCCAGTTGCATTTGTTCGGGACAAGATGTCCATTTTCGCTTCAATACTTTTCAAAGCATTTTCATTGTTTGATATTGTATTGGCCATTTGATCTCTCAAGAGCCTGTTCTCCTCAACCACATTTTGTAACAACAAAACATACTGATCGGGTAAAGACGTTTCAGTAGCCATGTCGAAAAATCCAGTACGGTCAGATTAAGCTGTTCGTCGCAAAAGGATTTTGAACACACAGAACACAGTTGATTGTTGAATTGTATGTAGTTTTATAATTGAGCGCAATCGCGTCGCAACATTCCATTGGTTGTAGAAAACTTTCACAGCAGGATTCTATTGTTATCATATTTCTTTCGTTAGGTATAACACACGAACATCAAAGCTCTTTACCCAGAGAACTTAGAAAAGCACTGGCCTAAGTACAAATTGGGCTTCCTTACGAATACTAAGTAATTTAAAAATTGATTCCATGCACATTTCCTCTGCAACAATAATCCGCCATTGTTTCAGTCGCGTTATTTATCGAACAGACATATTATGAGATTGCCTACCCACCCTATAGGGGACAGTTATCCGACCGGAGATAAATTTAATAAATTCGTATTTAATATTGCACGCGCAGGAAGCACACATTATGTACTTTGGCGCAGTGACTACGAATCGACAAATATTTTAAAAAGCCTTAAATTCTGTAAAGCTCTTGGTGGTATTCCTTGCACAAAACCAGTTGAAATGGTGCATTTTAACCAGTCTTTCCACACAGCGAGTGACGCACTTGCTACCAGTGGAATGCGCAGCCTTCTGGAAGCTACAAGCCCAGTGCCACCAGAGGCTGCACAGAATTGTATACCTGCGAAGCAGCGTCGTCTCTCAAGACCAAATAATATTGAGGAACTGCATCTTAAACGTCGCCGACGTAAACACAGATTATGAGAAATAAAACATAAAGAGTCCAGAAATGCCAAGCAAAGACGACTGGAGGACAAAATAAAGCGAAATATAGAGGAAGAATTCAAAGCTACAAACTCATGCAGCTACATCGCAAATGAGATCCAAGGCCAAATTTTTTTGGAGAAAGTGGAGAGAGGAAAAGTCTTTGCGTACAACGTCTCGTATGTAAGTAGATGTATATTGCTCCTTATAAATATAATTAATTTGAGTAGTTTATAGAAGCGGAATTATATGTGTATGTTTTTACTTACTGTATAATGTGGGGCACATTATATTCAGTATACACCCCCCCTGATGGGGTATATTTTTGCCCTCCAGAATCTAAGACGTTTTGTTTGAATATGTACTTCTTTAACACTGGGATTTAAATAATCCCTTGAATAAATGAGTGGTTTCGTCCAACCATAAGCCGGAGAATTCATTTTTGGCAATCCTGGCCACCTCTCGGAAAACCTTATCCATAGGCAAGGGGGGGGGGGTATATTAGATGAAATGGCACAGTGACCAACTATGTGGAAAGTTGGACCTCACCTTTTTGTATTTATATACCAGGAGGAGAGGTGGTGCTGAAGCCCTTTCAGGGCCAGAACACAGGCTCCCAGCCTTGTACACAGAGGTGTATATATAGTATTCAGAATCCTCCGTCCTGGTACATTTACCTTGCATGATTCTTAATAACTTTAGACACAATTATTATGGTCATAATTTTGGGTTTAAGCTACTACTAAAGTCTATAAGTATTTAAAAAAATATATATTGGAAACTCATTTTTCATAATACTAGCTTATTTTATTATGGAAGACTAAATAATTATTAATTAATTAAAGTAACCTGCAAAATTGTTTGATGTAATCATTCACTAATTATCTGGGCTCCTTGTGAGAATAGACTTTGTTATACTTTAAATTATGCTACACTACACTGTTGGGTTTCTACAACAGATGTAGTGATGTTTTGATCAAAGAAAACAATCCACATAAAAAAAGTGGGTAGAACATAGTAAATGCCTGAGGTGTGATCGAGCTTTGTTGAGGAAGGTCTGGGACATTGCCCCCACCCCCCCAGAATTTTTGAAATCTGAAGCCTACCAGAGCCCTGGAAATGCACAGTTTACAGTAATAAGTTTCTTACAAATTCTTTCAAAAACAGAAAAGCCCAGCAAAGATGTGTCTCAAACAAGTGTCCAGATGTTGAATGTGCACAGTACATGCGTAAACATTTCTATTTTTCTGAACTGCATGAACTTACAAAATATTTGTACATCAATTTTAACTTAGAAGTCGAACAATAATACAATAATTTAGTAATACAAAACCATAGCTTAATGCTAACAACATTATCCTATAAAGATTAAGTTAAAGTGGTTGTTGTTGCCTGATAGTGAAATCTGCAAGTGTAAAGTGAGAGAAGTGTCTTTAAACGATGGGAAAATTCCCTGAAAATATTAAACATATTAAATGTTTCAACAACACCTCGTTCTCAGGCAATTTACCCATGCAGGAAATCACGAAAACCCAACTTGCCTTTGGCACATTTGCAGTGTGGAGGAGGGCAATTACATATTGATCTCCCCTTCTCCAAAAGTAGGGGATTTAATGTCCCACCCATCTGTCCAGGATTGATGCCCTTCGTTTTGATGCGACATGTTATTGAAAACAGATGACTGCAGTTTTTTGTAAATGTATATCAAATTTTTCTTGATGTGCATGTAAATTGTAAATGAAATTCTAAGTTTCAACCTTTTCCAGAAACTATAGTACCTCAGATACTGTACCTTTGCCTTAAAGGACAATGGCAATAAATTTTTTTATTCCTGATATTGGTAAAACTGGACCCCCTGATTACGAATATGCCATTAGTTTTCATCAAAAATGTTTTGTTCTCGAGTTATTTCACCGTAAATATTCAGTACATCCGCCATCTTGGATCGATTTTCAAAAAAATTATCTTTTGGGTCACATGACCTGTGTGACGTCAAGAGCAGGGTAGAATCAAAACAACAAATATATTTTATTAGGCGCATATTGCGACTTCGTACTCTAGTGAGAAATTTGGCGCTTTTTGATTACTCGGATGGAAAATATCCATGATATCAAGTAGATAAGGTATTACCTTATCAATTTGAACCTAAACTGGGCTTACAAACAAGCGATAGTGGTGACGAGAGTGACTCCGAAGAACAGAGTGAATCGTCTGACGAGGAAATCACGATGTGTAATGTGTTTGAGGAAGAAAATGCTTGGCGCATTGCACATTGAAGCCAAAAGATATTGAATTGTTTTGTTGCCACGATAAAGCGTTAGAATACGATGAATAAGATGCATGATTAAAGGAGGCTGAAACCCAAGGGGAGAAGTGCTCGACTGCCTTTACAACACTGTCAATACAGCGAACATGCTTATCGGAAGGGCTATTAAATAGACGTTTGTCGCTATCTTGAAGATATTAAACTGGCCTCTGGATGACAAAGATTTGGACAAGATACACAAAATTTATAGACTAGTAGCTTCCAACGATGTTCGCGTTGGGTATTTCAGATTTTGGGGAATAAGAACAGAAGGCCACTTCACGGCATGCGTGTGTTCACACAATAATAGACAAATCCCATTATAGAGTAATTTTAAAACTAGGCAAGGAGATGCAAATAAATCACGACAGCTAGAAAGAGCATACTAAAATGAGTAAAATTGCAAAGTTTAGTTGCGAAATGTTGTAAAATGCGGAACATATAGCCTTGCAAAGTTCGCAAATTTTGTATACTTTTGTATTGCGTGCGGAAATTGCTAATTTTCGGCCCAAATGTGGTAGCAATTAACGCACGCAATACAAAAGTATACAAAATTTGCTATGTTTTCCGCATTTTACAACATTTCGCAACCAAGCTTTGCAATGTTACCCATTTTAGTATGCTCTTTCTAGCTGTGGTGATTTATTTGCATCTCCTTGCCTAGTTTTAAAATTAGTCTATAATGGGAATTGTGTATTCGAGAGCGGTTTGGGGCTTTGAGATTGTTTGAATGTTCATTTATTTAAATTTGGCTAAATTTATACTCTTTTAATAATAACTCTATAGTATGTGCCGATTACATGAAGCATTTTCAAGCCTGGGGATAAACTAGTTTTATACTGTTGACAGCGTTGGAATTTGTTCAATAAAGTAGCCCTCGGCCTGGGTGCTCGAAACAGGTTTGAAATTTAATTTTAACCTTATTTTTGAACAAAATCCAAGGTTGAAGATCCTCTAATTCCTTCGATGTAATCAGCTTTATTATATAATGTGCAGCATGCAAACCCAATTTCCTACAACAAATGTTATTATAATTTGCAATTGTCCTATTATCTATTAAAGTGCAGTGGTGTATATATTAATGCTTTATTAAAATTAAGTTTATAAACAAATTTGTTCTCCTCATTATTTATATCACAAAAACATCAAAACGATTTTTGCACGCGAATTGCAAAGAATCAAAACATATTCTCAGTCATTTTATAGTATTTATTTATGCGATATTGTTCCTGTTGATGTGGTCATAGCCGTGATCACCGAGAACAGTAAATATAAAAGTCTACAAAGTGGGCGAGCATATTGACATAGTACCAGACTATGCCTATGGCCAATCATTTATAATCTAAGAGCTTTTACCGCCGAAATCAACGCGTTTATTTCAAAAACACAGCTGAAACACACAGTAGAGTAGTAGCGCTAAATTTTTACACAGTTATACAAAAAAATTGGGAGTTTATCCGCACTTTTTGGTCAAAATCTTCGTAGAATGTGTTCGCACGCATACTATTTTATATTGACAATATTTGTTTCCCCTGCTCTTGACGTCACAAATTTATTCTCACATAAATTAGCATACCAGGTTTTTTTCAAGATGGCGGACGACTATCGAAAGTTTTATGATATTTCTGAACAACTAAACGCGATAGACAAGTGAAAATACGTAATTAAGTATTCCGTAGGTATGTTTAATAGATATCGAGAATAAAAAAATTTATTGCCATTGTCCTTTAAGTGTACAGTGTCTAAAGCATATGTTATAGACGAGCAAGTTTTCATATGTTAATTTTCAAGCTACAAATGTGACCGTATATTTCCAACTTTTTGAAACAATAGTTTGTGCTTACAGTAGCTATTTATTCATAAAACAACACTGTCTTGAAGATCATTCGATCTTTGTATTAAACAATAGTGTACTGTATAGTAGTTATACAGCTGAATAATATTCAAGCCTAAACATTTTCCATATCAGCATGGCTATTATTTATTTAAATTTTTCTAGGTCTATCCATGAAATTGACCTGGCCAACTTAAAAGAATTTCCAAGTGGACAAACAAAAAACAAAATTGGTGAGGGGACATTCGGAATATGTGTAAAAAAGATGTACAGAGGGCACGTGGTTGCTGTGAAACAGTTTAAAAGCCATACAAGCAGAACTGATGTGGAAAAGGAAGCCATAATGATTAATTCATTTGATCACCCTGGTATGAAAATTATTAATATTTATTATCATTATGGCGGTACTGTAAAATAAATTGTACTTTACTGTCAGGGCCGTCCCTCATATTCTGGCATTATTCACTTATTTTGAAAATTTTGAAATTGATTGTTTTTTAAATTAATTGATTGTATATACCGTGTGAACATGAATATATTAATATACCCCCCCCCCCAAGTTTTCGATGCTAGGGATGGCACTGTTTACCGAGGGCCCCCTATACCTCTTCACAATGTGCTTTTACGTAAAAATATTTTGCCTTTTCATGAGTCACAGATTAAGAAAATCATCGATCACGTTTCACAGCTAAGGAAAATAAGCCCTTCACGCAAAAAGTATAGGGGGCCTGATCACGTTTCACGGCTAAGTAAAACAAGCCCTTCACTTCACGCTTCACACAAAAAGTATAGGGGGCCCTCTTTACCGTTAGGAATGATTATGTGGATTAATGATTGAAGCAGTATGGTAACTCTTCTCGCGAAGCTGAAGTTTGTGTTTTCACTCAAAATTCAAAACTGAGAAAATTCTGCCTTGATAATTGATTGTTCATCTCATGATCGACTTCATTCAATGACAATGATATTAATAATGTCTTAGTTGTGACACTTGTCCACAAATTAGAACATACCAAATTTTAAGAATTTTTTATCACTGCACATTTTTGTGCAAACTTTAGCCAAGCAGAAGCACGCCCTGAAAATTTCTGAACGCACCTTTATAATAATGTGTAACCACAAAACAGGCTACAATTCATATTCAAAAATGCCAAAACCAACATACACTGCACAGCACCCAGGGAAATTTGGGTACCCAGGGCCACATTTGACTTGGGGCCCCTTGTGACGTGATTCCATCTTCTAACACTATGATTAGGGGTCCGGGGACATTCTCCCCAGGAAAATTTTGAAATCTAAGGTCCCATAAATGGCAAAATCCTGCATTCTGGAAGTCTGTTGACAGTTATATCTATGTATATTTTACTGTAATTTTTTATCTGGGCCACATTTAACTGAGGTCCAAGGAAACATTGCCGCCTCCACCCCTATGGGCGGCCATGACAGCACACTAATTACAAAAAGATAAGCATCATTCACTTCATCATCCAAGCTCAAAAAGAGATCTTTGGTGAGAGACTTTGCTCATCTGATGAACCTAAAGTATAATATTAGTGCGAACGTTTCTGTTATTAATCAAAATGTTTTGATTAATACTGTCAAGTGTCAAGACGAATTTTTAGTTCAGCTCTTATTGCCTCATTTTCTTGTTAACTCATTAAGCGGCAATGCGCCCTGAGATTGGCAAGGGGGTAAGCGGCAATGCGCCCTAACATGACTCCTTAACTTGCGGGCATGATATTTGAGCACGTGTTTATCGGGTTGCCTAGCAACGGATACGAAAATAGAACGTGAAATTCGAGCTTTTTAACGGTGTATCATGCAAGAAAATCGGCCAAAAACTCGCAAAGTTTTTCAAGTTTAAAACCTTAGTTTTTCAAAAATAATGAACAATGGCGAAACTGTTGCAAAGAATGGTTTTACAGCAAGTTTTAAAAGCGAAGAAAGAAGAGGTTTTTGAATCATTTACAACGAAAATTTGGCATGAAAGGAAAGCGAATGTATTGACGTTTTGGGGCCAAGTTCTTCTGTGAACCATCCGCGAGATTTTCAGCCAAAAAGATGAGGATTTCTCCAAACTTTATTAAAAATAGAAGTTGGAAATCACAAGAAAGATGAACACGGAACTCAAGTGAGCAGATACGATATTTTTAAGGGTATTTTTGAGTAGAAATATGCGATCAAAGACTCACAAAATTCGACCGCATTAAAGTTGGTTGAATCTAGTTTAAAGTTATCTTTTTAGACGAACTGTTTATGCAAATTTGGGCACAATTTCGACTGTTTTCGTAACCCCATTGTTGGTCTTCTTGTTCAAGTTGTTATTTTAGCTAAAGTATGTTTCAAACGACACCAGATTAAATTACTATGTGCGTACGTGCCCTTTTTGGCAAGAATACTTCGAGTATTAAATTACACTAAGTAAGTAGGATACTCCAAAATCACTGTTATATCTATTTTCATCAATTTAGTCTTAAAACGACAACTCGTTTCAGACATATTGTGGTTTAAAATAAGTGTATTGAATTAGTGCGCTTGCTGGCCGCGTGCAAATTTTCAAAAAGTCTGCACTTGAGTTCTAAAGCTTTTAAAACGCTTTTTCTATTGGGTTTTATATCCCCATAAAACTTTAAATCGATAAAGCAGATAATAATGTTGATGCAACCTCATTTTCTAGTAACTACACGTTGAATCAGAAGGAAAAGTTATCAAAAATAGGTCGCGACCGTTGCTTGCAAAATGCCGCTTCTCTCTGAAATGGCTTCCTTTGCGGGAAGCCATGAAATTGAAGTCCTAACAAAAACATAGTTTAGCAGTTCTTTTGGGCCCATAGCTCACTTATTTATCATGAAATCGCTTCACTAGAACATTTTTATTCTATTTTCTCATTATCTCATTTCTTTTCATCATCTCCTATTTTCTCACCTTCCCATCCTTGGTTTATATTGAAAATAAATAAATTCTAGTACCATATGTCCTTTTAAATATATTTGAGGTAATTAAAAACTCCAAAGATGAACAAGCACTGTGTTTTGGCTTGCACATTTTGTTGAATTTGAACACTTAGTTACTGTTCTAAATTTCGTGTTGTAAATATCTTGCCCAAAAAAACCAAATGAGTATTTTTTATAATTTTTGATCGTTTTCTAATTCATATCCCAAAAGATGAAAATTGGTTATAATATAGATATGTACTAATTTAGTAAATGATTTTTTTTTTGGTTTTTATATAAATTTATGGAGATATTGCCCCTTTAGGTGATGAGTGACATGAAAAACAAAGTGTCACTGCTTTACAAATAAAAATTCTCATTGAAAAAACTAATGATATATGTAGGTATGCAAAGTCATTTAAACTAAATTTGGTCAATCATATATCACTAATGTTTGGTTGAAAAGATCAGATTTTTTTATGCAACTGTTTCTGAGATATTGCCATTTTGGTGAAAGCTCTTGAATTCAATCACATATTCGCCATATTGCTTGCGCCTTAGGCGGGTAGAAACATTGTAACAGCTTGCCGCTTAATGAGTTAAATAACAAACTTATCACAGTAAATTTTATAACTGCACATTTTACATTCTATCACTGCACATTTTAGTTTAATTTATTGGTTATCACTGCACACACAAATTGGTTATCAATGCACACTAAAATTAGGTATGAATTAGAATGAGATTTCATGTAAAAGTTTTAATTACTCTACCTGAGATAGGGTCCCCTAATCAGGGGTTGAACATTTTTTTCCGGACATTAAAAGAAGGGTCAAAATTTTTCTGGTCAAACATCAGTTAAACTAAGGTTTAAAATTTTTTTTCCGGGCAAATTCCTGTTTTAACATGGGTCAAACCCTTTTTTTTGGATCAATATATGTAAAATTTTGGTTTAGAAAATTTTTTCTCATTCCATTATTTATATCAAAGGTTCGAATTTTTTTTTATTTTGCAGGGCCCCCTTAAACTGGGGCCCTGGGGCAAATTGCTCCCTTTGCCCCCCCTGAGAGGCCCTGCCCCTAATAGCGTTGTCCGCAATTGACGTCACGAAAATTCGACCCCCCCCCCGCGAAGACTCAGACAAACATTGGCAACATTTAATATAAATAGTATTATGATTAAGAGCTTCCCGTGAGTTAGTTTAATAGTTTGATGTTTGTTTATGGTTTATTTGTGCGAAATCATACACACCTTGTACTTTTCGCTTTACCTGAAGTGCCAGTGCAAAATATTTTTGCTTTGGAAGTAGAAATATACAGTTTTTCGTCACTTTAGTATTGACTGTCATGTCGTTTCTATCATAGGCGGTGTCTACTGTATTATAATAGTACATGGTTTGGCGTAACTGTTGCTATAAAGAGGCCATAAAGAAAGGGTGTGCAAAAGAAAGGGCGATAGAAAGTCTGTAGTAGCAGATATTTAACCGAAAAAATCTCGTAGTCGTACCAGATTTAATTCGTAGCCCTAGCGAATCAGTTCTAAAGTTCCCTATTTAATGTTGTTGATTTCATGTTTATACTATAAACTTATATTTTAATTCTCGCTTTGGTGTGCATTATTTTATTACTTTAGACATCTCTTTTATTAATAGCAAAGTCCAAAGCCAAAGAAGCTAGGATTGTTTACTATAATCTATTGACCACATATTCAACTTATAAAATACGGATTTATTAGGAATGTAATTAAAACTAATACTTTCAAATTTAAACTTTTTTAAAAAATGTCAAAGATAAACTACAAACTATATAAAATCTCAAATATAAAATCTTCCGTTGACCAGTATTTTGTTTTGACAATACAACAAAAATATGTTATTATAAAAACAACATTTTTATTTATCTATTTTTAAATATTCAGTTTTGTAAAATAGAGAACCGCCCTTTAACACTGTGTTAATTATTAAATAGCCTAACACTGTCTGGTAAACTATTGCTTCTCTCAGTCATAAATTTAACAACAGACGCTCTCACTGAAAACGATGGCGTCGCAGACTCATATTTTGAGCATGATCCATCTGCTTATACTGTCGATTAAACTCAAGAAGAGGTTAAAATGTAGAGGCCGGCTTATAGCAAAGCGGTATAAAACGCCAAGTTCTTCTTCAGCGAGTTAGCGATTGCTTTTACTGTAATAGTTCGGGAGAGCATCGTTCGCTGGATGTATTGACGGGGGAAAATGGTTAGCTGCGAAAGTTCTTGGAGAAAAACCAGCACAGTCCGCAGTCAATAACAATCAACACATTGCTACTGCAGACATTCCCGTCCCGTCCGACTTTTCAATTCCCTGTTTCGGCAGTTTTTCTTAGTATCTCGAATCACCTGGACATGTTCCCCAGCAACAGTGCTTAGCATTAACCATGTTTGTAATTTGGGATAAATTTGAATTCATTTTAGCACAGATAAAATAAATAAAAATGTCAATTTAGACCAATTTATGTTCGCTGCTAGTACAATTCTATACAAAATGTTAGTTTGTTTGTCTGAGTCTCGTGGGGGGTCTTCACTTGGAGAATCTATTTTTAGCTACTGCGGACAACGCTATTGAACAATTCATTCAATATGTATGAATAGGTTGAAATATGTATTGGGAAATTTAGGGTGGTATAATACTCATTCTAAATCTGGCTAGCTGCATTACTGGGGGAACGTGTTCACATGGCAAAATATTGATCTCACCTTGCCTGGAACTTGGCAAGGCAAGTTCCCCATTTTGCCATGTAAACAATAAGCTGGAAAAACTCTAAATTTCCTATTGTAGCTGTGTTTCCCGGTAAAGCGAGTAACTCGATTAGCCATGTAACTCTCAGTCTCTCCTCTATAATGAGACCCTTACAGTATACTTTCTACACACTATATTTATTCAAAACAATCAGTACAATTTTATCACATTCTGACCCTGTATTCAGATTGTGTTACAACTGTACTGTACATGAAAATTCAAGAACACTCGTGACTTATTTATAACATAATTTTATAATGCTTTTCTCATGTTAGGTTTACCATTTCTGTTTGGTGTCAATGTACAATCAAAGCCATACATATTGGTCACTGAATTTTATGGGATTGGTGGACAATGTGTTACCATTGGCCATGCAGCAAAGAAGCTCTCTTTAGAAGCAAAGGAATGGGCATTCATCCTGGAGAAATGTGAAAGGTTTAATTCACGATGCGATATTAAACACAATAATATTATCTTGAAGAACAGTGCAGACGTTCGCGAACCGGTAATTATTGATTTTGGAAAAATGAAAAAAGCTGAAAGTGCTAAAATTTGTAAGTTGAATTCGAAGGAGCAAGACCGCTATTTGAAATATTATAAACATATAGCGCCAGAAATAATTTGGGGAAGAGGGGCGCCATCTACAGCCAGCGACATCTACTCATTTGGCCAAATAATTTCTCTGATTGTCTACTACACAAAATCAACCGATCTACAGAAAATAGCAAAAAAATGTATACATGGAACACCAGAGAAACGACCTAAGGCTTTTAATGTAGCTTTGGAATTCAAAGAGGTTAGCAACAATTGAGCTACTGGTAGAACTGCATACAAATCCACTAAAACACAGACAGTGTGGATTTAAAAACAGATACACGTGGAAAAGCAAATTGTTTGCACAAACACAGTGTTTCACCACGAGTGTTTATATATACTTTGCCTTTGGATCAACACGGAAAGATTTTTTATATTTTATAAAACAGCACTATAAAATATTAAGTACACCATGTCAACATGGGGGAAATCTCCATGCTTACATTGTCATTAAGTTATCTCCGACTATATAAGCTGTGGGCTTATATACTTTCGTAAGCGATTTTTGATGGGCTTATACAAGGGGGGGCTTATATACGGGGGGCTAATGCATGGACGATCTTTTGTGTTAGTGACAAACAAGTCAGACATAAACAAGTCAGTCATAAACAGGAAAATAAACATGTATTAATAACGCGCTTTGATTCACATATATAGTTGGCTATATAAAGACAATGACAATGTTTTTAAATATCGTTCTCTGCTACATTAAAAGACAATCTCAATGTTGAATAACGTAGTGGGCTACTGGGCTTATATTCGGGGGACTTATATTCGTGGGGGCTAACATTCGGGTGGACTTATATTCGGGGGGGGGGGCTTATATTGGGAATGAGGTGAGCGTTAGTATATGTGGTGGGCTTATATTCTGGGGATGGGCTTATATTTGGGAGGGGGGCTTATAGTCGGAGGTTTACGGTATATATTAAACACCGTTCTTAGCAAATCAGCGTTCAGAATTTACAATGCTATATTAGAAATCATATTCTAATATTTTAAGACAGTGACCATCTGAGCGATGTCATTTTGTACATTACATGTATGCTAATATTCAAACTTGAAATGTTTGTGATTTGTGATTGGTTCATATCGCACTCAAAAAACATCACTCAAACGGTAACTGTGTGTCTTTAGCAGTCAAAATTACAGTCAATGGCAAAATAATATTTTTGTACTCATGGAACGAAAATTTATGTACCGTATTATTAATAATCTTTTCAACTTATTTGAATCGAAAGTGCATCTCCGGTCACATTGCATTGCATGGTAATTCCTAAATGCTTGGCATAAAACACCATTGGCATAAAACATTTCAGTATGGTGTTGGCAATTAGCGCAGCTACAATATTGTGACAACGAGAAACTATGCGGAGAAAATTTTCCATAATGCACTCCAATGTACTATTTGATATAATTAGGAAACAAAATGACGTGGCAAAGGTGAAAGAATGTACCTTTTGTCCATGTGTTCATTTTCTTCATTTGCAATTGCGCATTTCCTTGAAATACGCTGAACTGATAGAAATTGCGATGCACCAGTTGGTAGTTTATCATCCTTACTTGCCACATGCAAAGGGTTTACTGAGTTAAAGTTTGTGTCGTCCACTGATTTATGCCACGTTACACATGCAAAGTAGTACTTGATAAATTCTCCACTAAAGTTCAACAAGTGGGAAAAATAAAACTCTATCATTCCAAAGGACATACCGTTGCAAGTTTCATCAATTTCACCGTCTAATCTAGGCCAATCTGCTAACACTCCCGTTGATCGCTTACTTCTATAAGCCAACTTTGACCCAAATTGTTGGTTGAATATCTCAATCGTGCCATATTTCCGAATAGTTCTGCTAAGCTGTTCACTTATGATATTCTTGCCTGGAAACATGGTATTATACACTTTAAGCAGAACAGCCAGATCATCGTTATCAAGACTTCTTTCTTTGTATCAAAGGTGTAGGTTTCCAGCTGAAATATTACTCCAATTAATGGATTTCAAAGGTGCCATAACGTCAGTATTAAAGAAACTTAGGAGTTTGGTTAGTGCAAAAGCCGAATAAATAGTTTTAGAGTCGTTTCTTGCTATGGTTACGACATCGTCAAAGTAAGGTTGTAAATGTTTGTCCAGCGTCATGTTGTCGAGAAACCGTCATGTTGTTAGCTTACGCATAAGTTGCAATTCAATGGACCTGTTATTTGTTTTATGATGTTGTTGTTGGAAAGAATAGGTTTGCACAGATACGTGCAAGCCAACACACAAGACTGCCAGCATTTAAAATCTTGTTCTGGTAAGACATCTTTTAGAGCATATAAGGAGTATATGAGCGTCCAATTTTTCCATTGTTCTGCTGTGTAGGAACCGTAATTTGATGAAATTACCTTCGGCAGTCTTCCGATGTCAACAGGTACCTCCAGTCTATCTATCCTACTTTCCAATGTCTCAAGGTCTTTTTTGTTCAGAATTCCGTCTCTTACCCAGTGCTTAAAAATATATTTCGCCGTTCCAAGAAACAGATTATGCATTGGGTGAATAGAACAGAATCTGACTACGTCAAAATATTCTAGTTTTAAAAGTTCACTGTAGTAGTTTATTCCGTACTTTCTTGACAGCTTAGCTTCTTCTTTTTTTGTCTTACATCGTGACATCTTTTTTGCTTGACGCCTGTGCTCTTCATTCTTATGTTTCTGCCAGTTTTCTTCTTCGAAACCAGAGTAATCTCGCTTTTCGCCAAAGCCACCCGGAAATTTCTTAAGACACCGCGAACACCCCAATTCAGCACTGTGGCCTTTGAATCCACATAGTTTTCTTGAGGCTGGTATGTCTGAAGAGGTGCACAACAAAGCTGCTCTGAATATTAAGGATATTGTGCTAAGACTAGACTGCAAGCGAACTCCTTTCCACAGTGCTTTTAATTCTTCAACTAACGGCTTTAGGAATGGATTTAAATTCTTGGGTTCCTTCCCCATGGCAGGAATGATGCCAACTACTAAAACGTTTTCCCATTTGAAGCGTTCTGCGCGCGGTAAATTTAGCAACACCAGGTAAAGTACTCCAACAGAATAATCCTTCCTATGTTTCATTGGCTGAAAGAAGTCGAAGTTGAGCATAAGTCCGTAATTTCTGGGAGCATTCAAAAAATCGATACCGTTATATTTCTGAAAATCTTTCCTAAGCTGACCATCAAACATATCTGTTAGCTGTTCCGATTCTGTGTGTCTCGTTCTCCATTCTTCACATTTAGCAGGAAATCCTGGCTTTTTAAGGAGTTTTTTTAAAGTGTTTACAACGCTTGAATAGCAGTACGTATAAATTGGATAATATTTGATAACATTGTTTTTCAAAGTAACTTTTTTTACCAGTTTTCCGTTGCAGAAATGTATTTTCCCTCGTGAGTAATGCTTGCTTGAACATCTCTTGACAACGTGTCGACCATCAACATCACGGACGCATTCATTGTATTCATAGCATGCAGAGCATTTGGGACAAACAACATACTTGTTGAAATTGTCGCGATCTAAATCTAGTAACTGGCGAACCATATACAACGAGGTCGGAAAAATAGCTATCAGTTCAGTCAAAAGCTCGCCAGTTACATGGATATTCAGCACTTTAAGGAATTGCAGAAGAAAACGCAACAACCATGCAAGCCCATTATCACTTAAGTGACATACACCTTGCCAAATTAAGATAAAATACAACAACCACTGGAGAATGGAGTTAACAACTTGCACTTTTCTCCGCTTTGGTATAGGATCTGGAAGAGCTTCATTGGATGAGATGTCTTGATCCAGTATCTCCTCAGATACATCTGGCCAAATTTCATCGTCAGTTGACTCAGTACTATCATCTTCTGACAATTCGCTATCCAAACCATTATCATCATCAAAGGCTGTATCTTGATCAGTGTTCTGCACAATGGATATGAAGCAAAAATACTTATTTATTTGCCAGGTACGTGGTTAAATCATGGTTAATTAATCGAGTACTGTACATGCATTGGAAATTCGTCAATGTTTGTAAGTTCCTATCATAGCATAGGAACTTAGGTCACGTGACAAATTGTGCGTATAAAATGCATCCCTTCAAAATATAGATTAGATTAATTTCAATATTGGAAATGCACAAGCTCTTTTTTAAAATCTTATGTTCGTAATATTAACAAGACAAGAATAACACAGCAAGAAGTACCAAATAATGAATTATAGTTCTTATAGTGGACATGATGACCATACCGTAGTATTTCGTGTATTACTGTACTTTGTATAAAATCGCCCAACCGCAGTTATTGTCACATTATTCAGCTCACTCCCCATCGGGGCACTGTTAAGTCTACCTAGTGACCGTCTTTCGCAGTTATATTATGTATTTATGAGCTTGAATAGACAAAAGATTTTACTCATCAATGATCAACGACAATGGGCATCGCCGACGTCGGCGCTAAATGAGAACTGGGCTTTAAGAAGCTTGTTTTCGACCTAAATTTACGATCTCGCATTCCATGTGTACTTGCTTTTACGTGTGGGTTTTATGTACTATTTAAAAAACGAGCAGGAGTGTTTTATTAGGTTTAAAGCCACTCGCTCTTAATGAGTTTTTGAAGCACATTTGTAATATGGTTGTTAATTACTGTAATAGTTAAACTTGCAGTTAAACTATACTCCATAATAACAAATATATTTTTACTGTATTTGCCTAAAACCGAAAAAGAATATTAAAACTTACATGTAAAAATAAATGTATTAATTTTAGTCGCCCGTTTTTTCATATTTCAAATTGTTTTATCGGATGACTATGTTTAAAGTGAAATTTTACCTCATTTTTTATTGTTTTTCTAAAAAGTACTGCCAGAGTGATGAAGAATGACGTTACAGTATGGTCATATCTCATTCTCAAGTTATCGCACTTTCTATATTTTGAGTTGCGACAAGTATATGAGTTGAGATAATGGCAATAACAAGAAAGTATGATATCTTGGTGAGTATTTAATAAAATTCAATGAAACTTGGTACACTTACTGGATGCAACAAGGTCAACAATTTGGCTTGTTTATATGGTTGTTATGGCAACACACTCGGCCTCGTCCCAGTCCCTTCTCTTACAATTTCTATATGATCCATTTCCAACGAAATAAATAGCAATTTCTGCAATTTTCGCTTTTCAACTTTATAATAAGTGTAGGTATTGTGATCAGTTTAAACAGTTATAATATGTAAACATTCTAGGGCCGGTTGTTCAAAGCTGGATTAGCGCTAACCCTGGGTTAAAATTTAATCTGCTGTTTTAGTTGGTGTGTTTCTTGCACGTCTGTTTATTTCAAACCTTCAGAGAAGTAAAGTCCTATCGATCCAGACAAGATCTCTGAAGAAATATTTCCAAATTTGTAGACAAGCTGTCGGGAGGTTTGCTTTGAATTTTAGGTTAACCTAGGGTTAAGCTAACCCAGCTTTGAACAACCGGCCCCAGTACAAGAGGTCTACAGGAGGAAATTAAAGTTGTGAAAAGGAAGAGAAGAGACTTGGGACTAGTGTGTTGCCATGACCTGCCAAAAATATTCATATTGGTACACACACTAAGTGTAGCAAGTTTCATTGAATTTTATTAAATACTCACCAAGATCGATATCATACTTTCTTGTTATTGTTATTATCTCAACTCATACTTGTGACGTCACAACTCAAAATATAGAGAGTGCGATAACTTGAGAATGAGATGAGATATGACGAAACTGTAAACGTAATTCTTCATAACTCCAGCAATACTTTTAGAAAAACAAAAAATAAGGTAAAAATTTCGTAGCATGGGCATGTAGCTATTTTACTTGAAGCATATTGAATGCTAAAAAACCTACGACTTGTAGAAGTTGACAATTCATTTCGGCCTTATTTCACTCTACACTCTACGTATTTTAATCATAATTGTAATCATTTATCAAAGAGACATTGTCAACTACAATGCTTTGCGCACTTTTTGTTTACGTTGGCCGCCATTTTCGTGGTTGACAAATTCAAGATGGCTTTAAAGCCGGTTTTCCAGTAGCGAATTTTGTCGCGCGAACGGCCAATTTTGATTATTTAATTTTAATTAAAGTAATTTATATATGGAACAGTATAACTTCATTAACTTGTAACTGTAATCATATATGCATGTGAATGTTTAAATTCAGTGTACTTACGTCATCAGGGCTTGAATGTCCGAATGTATTTGGGTCAGTTATGTTCTGCTGAAAACCAATATCGTGGGACATTTCTACAGTTTCTAAGAGAAAATCTGCATGTTCATATATATATATATATATATATATATATATATATATATATATATATATATATATATATATATATATATATATATATATATATATATATATATGATTTGTTATCTTAAAATGTTTCAATTTCTCGCTACTAAGCTTTAATCGTATTTTCAGTTAATGGATGGAAAATTTGTTGGGTTTTTAATTACTTTTTAGTACAAAATTTCAGACAATTTGCTTTAGTTTAAGCTTTACTATTCATACTTTTAAGCTTTACTTTGCTTTAACTATTCATGTTTTCCTAAAAAATCAGCCCTAATTTGCATATTGCTGACTCATATGCAAATTAGGCAAAGTTATAATTAAGCATGCAAAAGGCTGATTTTTTAGGAAAAAATGTAAGTTTGCGTGAATAGTTAACCAAAGGGCTTAAACTGAAGAAAATTGGCTGAAATTTTTTGTACAGTAATTAAAAACTCAACAGAAATTTTCCATCCATTAACTCAAAATACGATTAAAGTAATAAAGCTTTGAAAATTCGCGCGCAAGCAATTTTTACTTTGTTGGAAAAGACACCCCTGGTTTACAAAATTTGAGTTCGAGAAATTGTTTTCATTATTCTACATTATAAGTACCCAAAGAAGCTATATATATAAAAAACTGGCTACTAATAGCTGTTTTGCGAAATTGAGAGCAATTTCGAATTTGTTCAGTTTTTTTATACACCCTGTATCAGGGCCGTAGGAAGATCGATAATCGGGGGGCTCATATTCATATATTCATGTTTACAGACCGTAAAAACAATCGATTTCAAAAGAAGTGAATAATGCAGAACGCGAATATATGAATATAAGCCCCCAATTATCGATTTTTCTACGGCCCTGCTGTATATACATTTAAAGTATTCATTACAAATTCATAAACCTTGTGGCAAATCATGTCAGCCATAATATGTCACGTGGAGTGACTTTGTATCTGATAAAACTCGTCTTCATTAGTATTCTTTATAAAATCGTTCATCCTAATTAGTATTCTTTTGTAGTCGTATTTTAAGCTATTCAAAACACTCGAACTCGCGTTTTATCATATCTAAAACGCACGGCTGCGCCTCGCGTTTTAAATATGATAAAACACTCCTTCTCGTGTTTTAAATACTACATAGCTGTATGTTTAATCAGTGGTTTAATTTAATATGGACATTATTTTAATGCAAACACTCTCACCTTTCAAATTGCAACTGTTACAATCAGTTTCTCCGTCTGTGTCGGAGGAAGACGTTGAGGAATCTTTCTTCAAACTTCTCTTTATTTGGCGTGATTGTTTTAAAGCCATATGCCTACGGAATGTTGTTTCCGAAGCGCTTTGTTCACAGTGATCACAAAACACGTGACTGTTTGCCTTATCCATTTCGTATTATAACTAACCGCGCACTTTGACGCTATTTATAAACGTGTATCTCAATCACTTCCGCACTTTATATGAGGTTATGCAATAACCAGGGTTAGCAACTTGGGAACCAGGTATTCTGACGTCAGCACGTCACATGACCGGGGGGATGGCGCAATGGGAGTAGGTGACATCTATCATTCCAAGTCTGACGTCCAAACGACGACAACGTGCGCTTTGAATATTTTTTTGTTATTTTGTGTTCGTGTTGCGCGTTTTGAGTGGTTGCCTTTACGAATTGGCTATGGCGTCTGGCAGAGTTCTGCTTTCCAATCACCGGAGTTTGCAACGGGCCTTCAAGCGGCAATTGCTCAAGTTTTGCGCCAGTCAAGCGCACCGATCGACCGGAGAGCGCCGGTTTGGAAGAACTGGGGAATCCTGCGAACACGTCTCGGGCTACTACGCGGACGGTCTATCAGCTACAGACTCAGGTAGGAGGCTCACAGTCTCGGCAGAACACAGGTATGTTGAATGCTCCATTGTTTTGTCGCAACTATAGCGAAATAGTTGGCGTAGAAGCTCACGCCATTCCGTCTGTAAACCTCGCGCAAACTCGATCCAATGAAATATGGGGAAAATCACGAAGACTAGCTAGACACTTGTGTTCATCTGTGTTTGTTTCTAACTCGAGGCCCGAAAACGCTTTGTCCTTTTCCCTGGCAGATCTCCAATTCCAGTAAAACTGGTTAAACGTTGTGCCAGATTCCTGGGCGCACTAGGGCCCAAGGAAAAGGCGGTATAAGCCAGTTTGTGGATTATTTAGCAATAGATATATGGTATACGTTTCACGTACATAATAATGAGCAGTCCTACATCTATATTTTTTTTTTGTCAGCACAACATGCACGAGGGGTGTGTGGTGAAGAACTGCATAGTGCATGCGAGTTGCTGACCTAGTTGTGATTGAAGCCGGACTTGTTATACTGAGACGGCAAATATAGGTTTCGAGAGACGTAAATGCCGTGGCGGCAAGCATATGAGATGTTCATACAATAGTTACGCAGAACGGAGCACAAGTCTTTGTGGTTTCATATAATTAGTAAATATGTTTCTCCGCTATCGCCTGGCCCTAACAGTCAACGTCAACAGTGTAAAATTTCATCCTGGTATATTGCCAATATGGTACACTGTTACATGAATGCATGTATAACAGAAAATTAACTTATTTACTTGTCTTGGTTTCACACTGCGTTTAAGCCACTGAACCTGGATTGATGACATCTTATTGCGGCAATTAATAATGCGATTAGCCTTGCTCACTTCCTGAAGTTGCAAACTCAGTTTGCAGATCCCGCTGGGGTTTTTTTTTCAAAACGTGCCCGGTCGTCAGGCGAGTTAGGTGAAACTCCACAGGCGGCCATTTCCGGGCGGTCTGGCTTGACAGAATACTTAGTTATAGCGGTATCAGATAACTTTCCTATTAACGTTGACATTTGCACACACAAGTGACAGCACATCCTGATCGTATAAAAGTTAAGTACAGCCTTAATGGTTTCAAAGAGGGTTTTTTTCGCACGGAGTTTGTTATAGAGATGAATTCCTCTAATATCCACACAGTCAAACTGTTCCTGAGCGGATGCTCATGCATCCACATGTTATTGATAAGTATCTGGCTGAAGAAATTCATGCGCGGTGGGGATTGGGCCTTTTGACCTCCCTCCCTCTCCAAATTATACAGCATTCGCTTTGCCTTTGGAGTAATTCTGAAGAAAAACAAACCAAAGACATGGCGCCTAATTTTAGACGTATCATTTCTAACTGATCATAGCGTTAATGTTGGTATCTTGAAAAACGAATTTCCAGTCGTGTACACTACTGTTCCAGATGCCATCAGAATGATAGTTACTTTTCTCGGCAGCGAACTGAACTCGATCACCATTACAGCACGTGTGCCTGATAATACTAATTTACTCGAACTGCGAATCACGATAGTAGCGTGGAAGAACAAGAAGCGTTACACACGTAAGGAATTAGAATCCTTGGTGGGTAAACTCAGCCATGCCAGTGTGGTTGTGACACTTGGCCGCACATTTCTGTAACGCCTTAAAAATCGGCTTCGCTCATCCAAACCCAACCAGAAATTCATTCGCTCTAATTTAGTGGCGGCAAAATACGATTTTTCGCATATCTGCGGCACATGTCCCTGGTAAACAGAACGTAATTGCTGACGTACTATCTCGCTTTAACTTGCAGGAGTGCTTGCGACTGGTCCCACATACTAAATGTACAGTCGTACTCCTTCTAGCATTATTGAAGGAATTGGCGGCTCGCCTGATCGCCCAATCGTAACTTGACTAAGGCAAGTGATAGTCTAGTCTACATTGACTTTCATCCACAGTTTTGCGGATGATATTTAGGATTCAGTCTGCTTTGGGTGCAATGTGGGAATTAATATTATACACAGTTAATTAATAGAGAAAAAACAACAAAGAGGAATAATACAAATATTTGTCTGTCTGTTGTGTCCTCGCGGGTATGGTAGTGACAAGCTACCCCTTGGGTAAGTGGGTTTACTTGCAGTTTTGCACTTTTAGCGCGAACCGTGTTTTTCACCATACTGAGACCTGTCTGTTACTACATCGAACTGAGCCGTTTACGTTTGCTCATCATACTGTGAACTGTCTGTAAACGACAGCAAGCTACGTCTGTGAATTCGACAAGTTGTCCAAATCTTATACTTTGCGTCCCGTCGTAGACTGTTCGTTCCACAGTCTAACATTTCCCTGGTCTTGGTTTAGGCAGTTGATCTGGCAAGTGAACTTGTTTAATATAGCAATCGTTTCTTGTTTTTTGTTTTGTTTTGTGTTTATGCGAAAGTACCGAAAAAATATGGCGGCCTATAATTTGTTTGTTGATCGTTGTTCAAATATTTCGGAAGTGATTATGCTCGGAGACACGACTACCGCGTGGATTTCGTCACGCGCTCTTAATACTGAGCAGTTTATTTTGTTTCGCTTTGTAATTTTGTTTCGCTTCGCGAAGTTTTGCTTCGAAGTATGGCACTTCTAATTTAATCATGTTCTATAAGATACCATATCAGGTGGTAGCAGCTTTATTTATTTTTTTTTGAGCCAAGGTGAGTTATGTAGCGGGTGATGACATCCGGAATTAATGTGCCTGACTAGGCTTGTCTTGCCATATCAGCTGGTAACGACGTCCAGAATTAATGTGCCTCATTATGCTTATCTTACCATATCGGCTGGTAACGACATCCCGAATTAATGTGCCTAACGATGCTCTCGTTTAGAAGATAGACGACACATTCTGTGCCATAAAACATTGAAAAAGATCCAGGAACCTAATTCCCAACTCCATGGTCTATTACCACCGACACGAGAAGACATACATGGACGCTGCCTACGGAATATCACGGACTATAGTGTACCTAATTAAATGCTGGACAGATCGATATAAAGATAGCTTATTCCAGCTATGTGTTCGATCGTTTCAAAACAATAGCTTGCAAATTTAATAGTAATAGCGATACTTGCTTGTTCATAATGGATTTTAATTTGCTTACAAATTTTTACATGCATGTATATAATAGATTTTACTGAATATTCTAAATATGTACACACGTTGTAATTCACAATGTTCGTGCGATAATGTGTGAATAAACCATTTTTATTATTATTGTTATTATATTATGTTTGTCTTAGCTTACCATATCGGCTGGTAATGACGTCTGGAATTTAATGTGCCTTATTATGCTTGTCTTACCATATCGGCTGGTAATGACGTCTGGAATTAATGTGACTTATTATGCTTGTCTTACCATATCGGCTGGTAATGACCTGCGGAATTTAATGTGCCTTATGCTTGTGTTACCATATCGGCTGGTAATGACGTCTGGAATTAATGCGACTTATTATGCTTGTCTTACCATATCGGCTGGTAATGACCTCCGGAATTTAATGTGCCTTATTATGCTTGTCTTACCATATCGGCTGGTAATGACCTCCGGAATTTAATGTGCCTTATTATGCTTGTCTTACCATATCGGCTGGTAATGACGTCTGGAATTAATGTGACTTATTATGCTTGTCTTACCATATCGGCTGGTAATGACCTCCGGAATTTAATGTGCCTTATTGCTTGTCTTACCATATCGGGTGGTAATGACGTCTGGAATTAATGTGCCTTATTATGCTTGTCTTACCATATCGGCTGGTAATAACCTCCGGAATTTAATGTGCCTTATTATGCTTGTCTTACCATATCGGCTGGTAATGACCTCCGGAATTTTAATGTGCCTTATTATGCTTGTCTTACCATATCGGCTGGTAATGACCTCCGGAATTTAATGTGCCTTATTATGCTTGTCTTACCATATCGGCTGGTAATGACCTCCGGAATTTAATGCGCCTTATTATGCTTGTCTTACCATATCGGCTGGTAATGACGTCTGGAATTAATGCGACTTATTATGCTTGTCTTACCATATTGGCTGGTAATGACCTCCGGAATTTAATGCGCCTTATTATGCTTGTCTTACCATATCGGCTGGTAATGACGCCTGGAATTAATGTTACTTATTATGCTTATCTTACCATATCGGCTGGTAATGACCTCTGGAATTAATGTGCCTTATTATGCTTGTCTTACCATATCGGCTGGTAATGACCTCCGGATTTTAATGTGCCTTATTATGCTTGTCTTACCATATCGGCTGGCAACGACGTCTGGAATTAATGTGCCTTATTATGCTTGTCTTACCATATCGGCTGGCAACGACGTCTGGAGTTAATGTGCCTTATTATGCGTGTCTTACCATATCGGCTGGTAATGACGTCTGGAATTAATGCGCCTTATTATGCTGAATTAATGTGCATTATTATACTGTCGTTTGTTTCCCAGCATGCAAGATGGGGTGGTCCTTTCTGTTCCTTGGAGGGGTGATGCTACTCATCACCCTTGGGTGGCAGCTCAAGATGCCATTGTCCCTCGGTCAGCTGAGCTAACACCTAACCAACCAAACGGGTAAGTATGGTGGACAAGGTGTTAAATGAGGTTATGCAATAACCAAGGTTAGCAACTTGGGAACCAGGTATTCTGACGTCAGCACGTCACATGACCGGGGGGATGGCGCAATGGGAGTAGGTGACATCTATCATTCCAAGTCTGACGTCCAAACGACGACAACGTGCGCTTTGAATATTTTTTTTTCTTTTGTATGCTTAGTTCAACAATTTATTTCCACCAATTTTTAATTGGTGTGAAGGTGTTAGTTCGGTGGGGGGTGGCAGCTCAAGATGCCATTGTCACGGATCTTAATCTGAGTCCAAGTAACAGGAGTCCGTCCAGGTCACCCCCCTCGGTCAGCTGAGCTAACACCTAACCAACCAAACGGGTAAGTATGGTGGACAAGGTGTTAAAGTCAATAATGAAACTAGAGCGAATTTGCGCTCTAACAAGTTTTCTTACTTCTTGTATTGTCCGACAGTGTCTCGCAGTGCTTAATTCAGGTGGAATGAAGGCATATCATAGTATCACGATAGTAATAAACGTATCAGATGTCATCATGTTTATTGGTTACCATAACTTCTGCAATAACATTATCTTTAATCCTATTAAATTGTCGTCGTAAAGAGGACTAAAGTAGGTGTCAGGTTTTGTCTTCATTTAAAATCAAAACTAAAGGTGATTAAATGCTATCTCTGCCTTTAATCAACATTTAAATAACACGTTAAAGGTCATTAAAGTATGCGCGCTTTAATGTTGGTTTTAACGCACTTTAATATCCTCACTAAGTGCAATTAAGTGTATCAGTTCCAAAAGAAGTCTTTTATTCAGACTAAGTGCGATTAAATGTAACTTTTTCTTTAATCACCTTTAGTCGGCTTATTAAAGTTATAAATACACATTTAATATCTTTAGTATTTTTGCTAAAGCTAATTAATGGCACGCTTTTCGTCCTGTGAATTTAGTGCAATGGCCACGGCGGAGAAGGAATGGACATGGGGCAACACTCTTAGGATTTTGAGACACACATTCGGAATTAGGCTGTTTATCTGTACTAGTTCTGTCGGGATGGCCAGACACAGCCACCCCTACAACGGGGTTCATGTTTTCATTTCTTGTATTCGGACCATTTGCTTCTTGGAATGTTTTATCCAATTCGACCAATTCAATTATTTTATTATGTTGCTCATTTTGCATGGGGTTTTCATTTTGTGTGCTTTCGCAATGCATTGTTTGGTTTGAGACTTCAGAGTACTGTTCCGGTTCGTAAACATTTCCTAAGCGCTTAGCTTCCATTATTAATAGCCGTTTGTCCTCGTTTACGAGACGCACTGAGATTACTAAACTGACCTTCTCCTCTTCAAGTATTTTAATTTTTGTATTTAAATCAGAGGTAATATAGACTAAGTTGTGCATGCGTTCAAGGTATTCGGCGTTTTCTTTCTTAAGAATTGCATTTTCAGAGCAAATAATTTCGTATTCTTTTCTAAGTGTGTGTAGTTCAATATATGCAGTATCATTCGAGGAGGATTGACATACGGTTTCAAGCAGGGCGCTTATATACCGGGCGGGGAAACGAGAACGCGCGCGCCGATCGATGTGTGATGCGGAGGACTGGGAAGAATTTTGCTGAAATGAATAAATATGGCGGCTGCCAGTAGGTTGGAATCACTGTTGGAATCTAACGAATCTTCATCAAATCAGGAGTTTTTCATATTAGATGATGAAGATGAAGGCGATTTTAGCACGCTTTCCGACCCATATGGCTCTTGTGTTGATTTTTGTAGTATCTCCGCTAGTATTACATCAAAAAGTTTGGCGTCATTTTTGCAAACACTTTCCGAAGTTTACAAGCCGCCGTCAAATGAGAATTGGCTTTTAACCTTGGCTAAAGAAGCAGTATTCAATGATAGCAAGTCTGTCCTTAAAGAAGAGCTTTTAAAAGACATTTCGCATTTGGTTGAAGTTTGTTTTAGTGAGGCAGGAACAGAGAAAAACTCGCAGGAATATGCAATCAAGCTGGAAAAAGCATTTGCTGAAAAACGAAACTGCAGTTTTCACCATTTGGCAATAAGGCAATCATGGGAGAAATTTGTTTTCGATGATTCGAGCGACCACGATCATGAAGCTTCTGATAATTTGTTGCAGCAGGTTCTTCAGCACTTTTGGTCTTCCCACAGTGACAGCCGTATTAATACTGTTGAAGGAGGACAAAGTGCTAAAGATCCTGCTACTTGTGATGAAAGTGACTTTGATAGCATCAGGGACCATGCTGGTTGGGTCATAAAGCGAGCTAGGGACACATTGATGAAAGGCGAGGATGAAGTACCAGCTAAGGAGAGTGAGACGGACTCTACCATTATTCAAGGCAGTAAGATTGAGGCCCTTAATTTAATTTCAAGTCTGGGGGAAGATGTCAAGCAAACTGATGGAAAGTTCAGATTTATTGTTTACAAACATGTTGTTCCTTTTTTTCTATTCCTTCACAATCTGGTTGAAAGCCTCATCACTCCTACTACTATGGTTGCCCAAAAAGGGAATATTTTAATTGATTGCCTTGAAAAAATATCCAAAAATAAAGTGATAAGAGAAAAGTGGAGTTGCATTGTACCAATTTCAGATACACCATCATCTGTGGTCCTGCTCCAAAGAATTGTGACTTTTTTTCTGAAGTCGAAACAACAAATACTTCGGGAAAAAGGGGGGTTAAAACCAAATAAAAGCAGCATGGCAATTAGACAACAACTCAAGAAAAAAGGCAAACCTTCTAAGCAAAAGGATGGCAAAGAAATTGATGAGCTAAGGTCTGGAAATATTACATCTGATCAATTTTTGCAAAGTTTGTCTGTGTACTCTGAGTTTAAACAAGAAGAAATTTTATCACTACTCAATGGGAAAGAACTAGCCAAAATCCTCAAATCATTGGGCAAGCCATCATTCCTTGGCAAGAAAAAAAGCAAACAAATAGAAACATTAATTCATGTTATGAAAACCTGAGGTTATTCCAGTAAATGAATTTTTGAACATTTGCATCTTTTGCAAGTTTTTCTTAATCTGCCCTTGACCAAAACAAACTTCAACCAATGCCAAATACTTTTGTGAAACCTCACTTTATTGGACAGACTTGCTATTACGGTATCTTATGGTGCTTTATCAGTGCAACAAGTTAAAAGCCAGTTCTTATTTGAAAACAATCAGTAAAGAAAGCTGAGGTGTTTGCAAAAACAGTCATAGGAGATACTAGAAAAGTGAAAACAAGAGTCGAATTATTGTATGCAAGCAATGCAGCTTGTATTATTATTAGCTTTATTAACTGGTAACATTAAACAGCAGAACAGTTTATAATGCAACAAAAAGCCGGCCAAAAAATTGTATATTATTGACTAGATGTATGTGTTGTATGAAATACAGATAAGTCAAACACATTATGGCTGACTTAACCCAACCCAATACCAGCCGATAATTTCAATAAATATAAAAGAAAACATAATCCGAAGATTAACATCTTGAAGCCCAAGATGTGAGTTGAAACAAGACAGAAATGAGTTCGTGATATTATGATTTCATTGCAAAATCATCAACAGACTAACTGAAGTTACTATATACACAAAGTCTTATGTACTGTACAAAGTCACTCTTGCCTTGTTTTAACTCATATCTTGGGTTTCAAGATGTTAATCTTCGGATTATGTTTTGTTTTATATGACTTAACCCAGCTCACCACAATTTTCTGTAAGCCTGGATACTCTTGAGCAAAATGGAAAATTAATGAAATTATGTAGTGTGGCGACACAGAATAGAGACAAACAGAAGGATGACTTCTTGGTTTTTCCTATGGTTTTGCCTTTTGGCATAAACAGTAATTCGTCATCAAAATGCTGACCAGGGCATTTTTTGACTATATAATATAAAATATAAGCAAAACATGGAATTTAGAAGGGAAGTTTGATATTCTAGTAACTGAAATTTGCCTTATCAACCAACCACCACCTGTCATCTCTCCACACTCAGTATAGTATGGTCCATTTTTGTAGATGCCCCCACAGACAAATTCTTAAAAAATGCCCTGATGCTGACACCATCATCCTAGCCAGTGTGCTTCTGGGAGGCATTCACCCCCTGATAATATTCAAAATGGCGGACGTCCAAGGGGTGAATGCCTCTTATTTTATAAGCAAACTGGCTATGACCATGGCATCAGCATTTTGATGACTAATCATGCAGTGGCAGATGTTATAATTTTTTGGCCGACTCGACCTTCTGTGTGTCTTTATTCTGTGGTGACGATTATCTGATTGTATAAGACATTTTAACTTTATATGCACATTTGAATGAAAACATCACTCAAGGTGTACAGGCCAGAGGTTTTTCTTCATTATTCCTTGAACATTGTCCCTTTTTAGAAGGGTAGAGCCACATTTCTGCTGTCCAAGTTCAAGATCATCACTGTTGTAAACATTTGTTTGCTTTGTGGATAAAATCTTTGTTGACGATGCAAGAACACTGTTGACATTGTAGCCATAGCTATAGGCAGTCATGTTATTTGTGCCTCCACAAGCTTGCCTTTGAATGGAGAAAAAACATTCCACCACATCCTGATTTAACCTCTTTGGGATTATGTAATGATCTCCAGCATGTAGGTTTTGAAATGCAGAACTCTTTATAAAGGATACTAGCTCTTTGATGCCATTGACTGTAACCTGCAAAAAGTGTTATAAAAATAGATTATTATATTGCATTATTATATTTTATAATCATCTTATAAATGTCCTTAAAGGGAGATTTTTGGCATTATTTCTTTGAAACATGAAAACATTTTTGTCATTCAAATTTACAATGGGCATTGCCATTGTGCACTGCCAAGCTTGTGAATTATACCTTTATATCAAACATTGTTTGCCATGTAATAAAGTGTGATGCTATTTCAGATTTGCTTTCAAACATCAAAGAAAGTTCATCTCTCCAACTGTCAAAAAATTTAATCACATTGTCCAGGTCTTTTATTCTGGAATCATTTAAGGAAGAAAGTGGTGTGTTATCATTTAATGCTCTCCACAAATTTTCACAGTGGCTGATAAACATTTGGGTGGATTCTGTTGCAGCTGGATCGTGTCTTTCTATATCCTTCTTGACTTTCGAGTTCAAAGCTTGCACTGCAAGTTTTACTCTCATTTTACTAACACTATCAAGGCGAACATGTGCATTCCTCAGGTCTGTAGCATATATATGCCTATCTTTGTCCCTTTGGTGGACAGCGTAAATATGGTCCCATAATATAGGTTTAGAATTTAACAACAAATACCTAGTGTATCTTGGAGAAATCTCTTTTCTCCCACTGTTATAAATGTTGTTACGCAGTTTTTTGATGATATGAGGGGGATATGGATTGTTTGTCTGGCTTACAAATTCGCTTACATTGTTCATCATCATAAATGCCCTGTTCTCGGCAGCCCCATCACAACATGCAAGGATGGTTGTAAATCCATACCCTTGCAAGAGTCCAACTCCTTGCCAAAATACCCTGTTCAAACTCTGAGCAGATACTCCACAAGTAAGAAAATAACCACAAGGAAATTGAAATTTAGAGAACACGCTCTTGAAATAAAGAGAACATGAGTGGAAAGACTTTTCTGAATTGTATAATTTGTTCCATCATTTTCCAAATCAACAAAACCAACTAATTCCCATGTGGAAGGATCAAACAACAAGCCCTCTTTAATCTTGACCTCATCAAAAAACAATCCTCCAAATCTGCCAACTTCAGAAAATCCCTGATCTTTAAAAGTTATATCCATCGTCTCAAATACTGATGTTTGCCAACCTGACTTGGAGCTTGAATAGTTTTTATAGTCAGAAAGAGTTCTGCCACTTGGTAGTTTTAAGAAACCTGAATCTCTTAAATCAGCATACATACTATGGGACTTTGCATATAACTTTAGACACCATTTAATAACCAAGGGATGCCATCGCATCTGCCTAGAGGGAACATTCAATGCCTTTGCTTGATCTTTAAGAAGTGTAACAAAGAACATGTCTGATTCACTACCAATATGGTCCTCAAGGTGGTTTAAAAGGAGCTTTTTCTTTTTAAATTCTTTTCCACATCCTAACCATCCACGCAAATGGTGTCTGCCAATGGGTGCCACATCACAATATTCAGTAAAATGTGCTAGGTGCGATTCTTTTATGTGCTTCATTAGTAATTCTAGGGAGTCGAATTCATTGACATTATCGCAATTTACCCAGTAGCATACCTTGTTGTTGTTCTTTTCCACTTTCTTACTCAACCCATCAAAAAGATCTTGAAATAACCCTCTAAATTCAGAGTCAGTTTTACATCCTACTGTGCTCATGCTTTCTTGGCATTCTTCAAGCCTCTTAATTCTCGTTTGCATTGAATGTAGTTTTTTAGCAGTGTCTCGACTGTGTGCAACAAGTTCATCCTTGGACATGTAATCATATCTCTTATGCTTGGAACATGATTGACTTGATTGCTGACTACGGGACTTCAATGTCCTCAAATAATGATTTGTTTCACAACAAGCTTTGCAACAATTATTAGTATTTTTTGGAACAAGAAATGTACAAAACTTGCTTGATCGGATGACTTTCTTTTCAACATTAATTGGATCACATTCAAGAAAAGCACCAGGTTGCCCATCAGTTGTTTTAAACACACAAAGATCAAAAGCTGGGGGTATGATACTTTCATAGTTCTCAGTAGAAACACCAGGACATATTGTCAGCTTTTGAAGAGTTTTCAAAAGTAATGTTAGATGATTTAGTTCATGAATAATTGTAGGTAGCTGACATTGTTCGACATTTACCACTCTTTCCTTTCCCATGATATGCACAATAACCTGTAATTCCCATCTGATGTAATAATCACTTCATAATTCATGCTTTCACCTGGACTTTTATCATAATAGAACAAGTGTACACTGGCATCTTGCAAATTAGGCATGACTTTCCATTTAGGGAACTTATTTGTTAGGTTAGCAAGATTCTTGTTTACTTTATATGCCAGTGTTTTGGACACTTTGCTTTCTTGCAAACACCCCAAACACTCACTCTCAATAATACTGAGAAGTCCGTCATATTTCTTAGCGTCGCAGAAGTCTGCCTCAAGCAGGTCAATTAACATACATTTATGATTTGCAACTATTTTCTGAATAATTTTGGCATAAAATTTCCATCTTAAATAGCCATCATATTTGCCTAATCCTTTCGTCACATTGTTTACTGAACGATAAAAATAGTTTCGTATACTCTGACAGTCAAATCGCACACCAAACACAACATAAATAGCTTTCGATACATTTACATACTCCTCTGCCTTGATAGAAGCAAGTTTCTTTGAAGACACAACACTTATTAACGAGTAAAGGAGGAGCTCTTCAGGTTGCAAAGGAATTTTACCATCATATTTCACTGAAGTAGGTACAGTATTGTTAAATAATGATTGATACTCAGCTACAGGATGAATCCTTACGTTGTCATTTATCGACGAACTAGTTGACTATTCAAGCGCATCATTTCCACATGTATTTTTAAATTTTTTGGTGGACGGACCAATTGTATGACAAGCTTGTCGTTTATCACACATTATATATTAATTTCCAAACAGTAAAGTTAAAAAATGTTTGTAAAAAAGTATGATATCTCGTTGTATAAAAGCTGAGAAGAAATGGTGGCGTGATAACAACGTTATTGCAAACGGAATATTACTTTGAAAAATGTTCGATATGTTCGAATGGATATTTATGTCCTAACAGCTATTCAATGTTCTGTATCATTTTGAAAGAAAGTGTCAACTAAATTATCTTTTTTCTCAATGTGTATTGTTAGGCAACTGTCTTAACTGCAAGCACACAAACTTGCAAAGTGTGGACAACATTTTGACACCGAATGCGCTACGTTTTTGGTTGAAGAGAACGCTGTAGTTGGCTCTAAAAATGTATTAATCTCGGTCACTGTTACGTTTCCACCTTATACAGTGCCTTAAAATACCCAGAAAGTAATCAATTTGTTCACTTACAACGCTAAGACTATCTCACACTGGAGGAGAACCGGATTATTATGTCGGTATGAGGCGTTCAAAACAACAACAACAAGACAAGTGAAATGGTCAATTCAGGGGAATAAAACAAAAAAGTGTCAACTTAGATTTAAATGAATATCGTTTCAAATCATGCGGAATGTAATGTTGTCAACTTACCTTAAATGTTTAATCAGCCGGCAGCGAGTCAACATGGTCACAACTCCAGTTGAAATTTACCATCCGCCAGCTCATGCAATCGACGAAGCTTTTATCCACAATAAAATCCCTTTAAAACACTACTCAACGATATCGAAGAGTTAAAAGATGAAAGTAATATCCTTTGTATTGTTCCTGCTAAAAAAGCCACAAAAGGTCGTATATAATCAGAGAAAAATCGATCAAAACACAACACTGCAAAATTTCACACCTTCCGCCATTTTTCCACAAAAACACGCTCGTGCCAGTTCTCTACCGCATCACACATCGATCAGCGCGCTATGAGGTCGTTTCCCCGCCCGGTATATAAGCGCCCTGGTTCCATTGCACTCTTTGCGAGTGCAATTGTACTATTATCATTTATAGACCTGGAGCGAGGGGGATTCGGCAAAATATTACCCGAAGTGATGATATTTCCCGAGGGGCTTTGCCCCGAGGGAAATATCATCACCAAGGGTAATATTTCGCCGAATCCCCCGAGCGGAAGGTCTATAAATGATATATTATACCGAAAATTAAAAGCCTCCAAGTTGAGAATTAAAAACTTAACACATTACACATACCTTCGGCTTCGTGAATACGATGTTTTATTTTCGGATTAACGCCGTCAATGCTTTCAATGCCGTTTTAGTACTTTTGGTCCTGTTTTTAGAATGTCTTTCGTTTAAAATTCTGGCAATTTCTAGATCTTCTTCCGGTGCAGAATCATGGCTGGCCATTTTGAATTAAATAAATAACAATTTCCCGCTTTTTTCCCCACACGTCAGTCTTGTGAGTTGCGTGGCTTCCACGATTTTAAATATCCACCGCTGTACCGGTGAATAGGAGGTGGGTGCTGGTCAAAAGGACTGCAGAAACTAATATCTACGAGTAGATGTCGGAATACGACGATATATTTCATCCTCACGCGGGCAAAATGGAGCATTTTAATTGGACGTTTTGAATTTGAGGAATAATATTACATTTTATTCCATCGCACTCTTTGTGTTTTCGATAAATCGCATCCGTCAAAATGATTCTCGTACGGTGATCGCAGTTTATTTTAACCCGATATTCGAAACTCAGTAAATGGGATTAGCAATTCGTCAAAATGGCGGGAGTTTAAAGTAAACCTTTTAATATTAGTCGATTTTGGTATTACATAACACAAATAATTATGTTTTTATACTTGCAATGGTAAGAATATTTCATTCGGTGAAAGATGGTATGTTCCATTCAACTCGGCTGTCGCCTCGTTGAATAGAACATTCCATCTTTCACCTCATGAAAATTTCTTGCCATTGCACTCATAAACATTCATTATTTGTATATTATATAATACCTTATTGAACTCTGATCGTTTAATTGGCTGTTTGTAGTCACGTGATATTGAATAGAAAATTCCATTTCCCAAGAGTCCACTCTTTGCGAGTGCAATTGTACTATATATACGTTATATTCCATTGCACTCTTTGTATTTTCGATAAATCGCATCTGTCAAAATGTGTGTATTTATTTTTATATTAAATGGTGTTTTAATAAACTGTTCTCGAAAAAGCAATATTAGTTATAAAACAAATAATGAATGTTTATATGTGCAATGGTTAGAATATTTTCATTCGGTGAAAGATGGAATGTTCCATTCAACTCGGCTATCGCCTCGTTGAATAGAACATTCCATGTTTCACCTCATCAAAATATTCTTACCATTGCACGAATAAACATTTATTATTTGTATAATATTGGAGCATAGAAGCTAATTCTGATTCTTATCATGGCGGTCTGCAATTTGACATCTTTGTCAGCAGAACATAAAAAAATAATTATGAATATAAAAAAAAAACAAAAAAATGAGAACGCACTCACTGCAGATTGAAATTATCCAATTTTCTAATATATTTCAATATACATACTCACCGACACATCATCTGATTCATTTTGAGCAGATGGCTCTAAGAACAAAACTTTCCTTGACTTAGCCTCTTTCTGACCTGCAACAACTATTTTTACATTTTGGGGTGGCTTTTCTGGTGTGGAACCTGTTGATTTTGTGTGCTGCCTCTTATAGGAGGCATCATACACGCTGTAAAATAAATCGGTAAAAATAAAATAAAGCATGTGACCTACACTTGACAACACACAGTGCAAAATTCCTTTGCTTCAAATTAATAAAGCTGCTAAACAAGAAGAGGTCGACTAGGGTCGATCGACTTTTGACGAATATTCATTATGCAATTGAGTGTTAGCTAGAAATAAATCGCCTACCTGCAATACAAATTTAGCGGAATTTGAGAGCGGCAGCACTCTCCCCTTGACAAGCAAAAGGACTATAGTATGAGACATTAAAATAACTAGAAAATACATGCATGCAGAAACCCTCGCCTTGCTGACAAAACCATTGTATTTTCCGAACATGAAGTATCTAAAGTAGTTGTCATGGTAACATGATAACTTTTTAAGAATATTGCAAATGAAAAATCGCCTAAAATTTAATTACAAATTTATGTATTTCCCAAACATACATTATTATGTTAGGTATATGTTATTATACGTATTATATAATAGCTTATTGAATTCTGATCGTTTAATTGGCTGTTTATTGTCACGTAATATTGAATAAAAAATTCCATTTCCCAAGAGTGCAATGGAATACATTCCATTGCACTCTATGCGAGTGCAATTGTACTATATACGTTTTATTCCATTGCACTCTTTGTGTTTTCGATAAATTGCATCCGTCAAAATGCTTCTCGTACGGTGATCGCAATTTTAACCCGATTCGAAACTCAGTAAATGGGATTTAATGCAATTACGACTCGACAAAATGACAGGAGCTTACAGTAAGCCTTTTAATATTAGTCTATTTAGGCATTATATAAAACAAATAATGAATGTTTTTATTCGTGCAATGGTAAGAATATTTTCATTCGGTGAAAGATGGAATGTTCCATTCAACTCGGCTGTCGCCTCATTGGAATGGAACATTCCATCTTTCACCTCATGAAAATATATTCTTACCATTGCACTCATAAACATTCATTATTTGTATAATATAACCTTCAGTTTAAGGTAGAATTCAACCACAAACGCTTTGCAAAACATTTTAAGGTTTTCTTTATAAAACTAAACTGACTTTAATTCTTTAAATGGCTTTATCAATAAACTTGGCGTACGCATTCTGTGATTATACTCCGGTACGGTAAAGTGTGAAATTTCCTTTACTTTACACTTTGTAATTTACAGTTTACCGTGCCGCAAGTACTTGAAGGCCTGTGTTCTGACGGTTTTTCCGTTCTTTAATCGGCGTGTTTTGATGGCGTACGTATTCTGTGATTACTCCGGTACGATAAAGTGTAAAATTTCCATGATTTCAAATTCTCGCATGCAAATAACCTTGCTTTCTTTTTTATTTAAAAATTCAATATAATAAAAAAGGGAATCAATAAGGATACACTGAAATTATATGCTGTCTTGTTTAGTTGTTTCGTATACGCAAAGCCAAAGGCCGTCGGGTTTTAAAGCAATTATCAAGTCAATATGATTTAAAACAAACATACCTTCGCATTTGCACCTTTCTTTTAGCCGATTCTTTCGCTCTTTCTTTCTCAGAAAGCATTTGAAATTTACAAAATCTTGCAAAAATGTGACCAGAAATGAAATATATTTGCAAGAGATTTAGAAATCATCAAGTCAAGAAATATTTGCTATTTCGCTGTCGTCATGCAGTCGTTATAATGCAAATTTTAAATTGGACCAATCAGTGTTCGCTATTTACGACAGTCCGCTATATTTTGAGATCAGTGAGGATGACCACCCATGAACGGTGACCCACGCGGGCGATCATTAATGAACTTTAGACTTTGCTAGGCATATAGCCACGGGAAATTATATATAGTGCCCTCGTCGTCCGCTCGGGGATAAAGTCGGGTGCATTGCTATTGGGGCACAATGCAAATATGGTGACAAAATTTAGTTTTTATTTGTATAGCCCAGCGAGTTAACTCTCTATAGAGCGTCTTGTTATACTGAAATTTACATACAAGCGCGCTCCTGCTGAAACCACAACTAACTTGCGTTACGTCACAAATAATGCTCGTTCCAGACTTCAAGCAGCTAAATATTCCGACGGCCATGTGCCAAGTAAAATCGCAATATAAGCAGGTTCAAGTGGCTCTAAAATTTTAGCTTTTTAACCAACAGCAAAAGTTTTTTCGCGAGACTGCTACACTCATAGTATACTTTTAATATGCCGAAAATCAATTTTGGGGTTACGGGCACTTTAAACGATATAGATATATACAGTAAATTTCTGACGTTGTTTAATTATACAAATACATGCATTATTAAAGTCATTACATGCTAAATAAACAAATTTGATGAACGTTGCTTACATGTTTACTACTTTAGAGTTAAAAATTTTAGATATCACACATTCTTAGCTTTTCTTGGTCTAGTTTACAGAAACATATAGCTACAATTAATAGAATAAAGGTAATTGAGTCAGTACAAATTTGCCAAAAGTTAGCAGATAAACGTGTTTTATAGTCCACGTCAATTTGTTAAAAGTTTAAAAGGATGCCGCTTAAGTTTTAAAAATGTCAAATTACTTAATTAACTCAAACGGATCATCGTCCAGTGTTGCCAACCGCATGCTTTGTCCCTTCTTTTTGTTAATCTCAGCAATTGCTTCGTTCATTCTACCCGGAAAATTCATAATAATACCATCCAAACCCATTTCAAGATAAGTCCTCGCTGTTGATTTTTTTGTCAACTGACCATGCATACACTTTGCTGAAATAGTTTCCGTTATCTCGATATTTCACTTGACTTGACAGTACGTCCAAGTACTTTTTCGGACTCCAGTTTGTTATTCCACTGCTAAGCCAAGCGTGATATGGAGAAACGCCAAGATCCCTCAATGCTTTCTCTTTCTCATCTGATTCAGTTAACTTTGATTCCCAGCTGATGTCGAAGCCAATCTTTTGAATGATGTCTGGATTCCCAGTTGCTTTCAGTCGACTCAAAACCGCAACAATGAAATCTTTCAAAGTAAAATCTGGAACGCTTATTATTACCTTCATCTTGGTAGGGTTATCTTCATACAACGGAATTAAGATTTCATTAGCAAATTTCTCACCGGCTGTGCTTAAACTATTTTTCTTTACATTTTTCAACTTAACATCGAACATAACCAAAACCAATTGCCTGTTGAGCTTCTGGCTGTCATGAAGTGTTCTCTCTCGAAGAGCCTTGATGTAGTTCCCAATGTAAGCCCAACGTATGCAATCGCGACCAGCATCACAGGGTGTCCCGTGATAGAAGTAGTCAGGTGTGCCATCTTTTATAAATGAAACATCTACCTCAAGCGCGTTTGACCCGTACCCCAACCAGGTATCAATCTGCTTGACAGAGTTAACCATATATGAGCTATATTGTATATAGGTCGAACTGAATTTGAATTTGAATTTGAATTTATTAATAAAATATAGACTTTGCAACCATGAAGGTTGAAATACATCTATCATTTACAGGGTAAGGTTGATTAGAAAAATATTGTATATTTACAAAAACATATTTACTATAATATAGGAAGAGTTTAAAACTTCTAGTATGATATTACCATAATATTTACAAATAAAAATGTATGTAATTTATAGTTACTCAGTGTTTATTATAAATCGTTACAGACGAGGGAATGTACGAATTTTTGAAGCGATTTGTCCGACAATTAATTGGAACGAGTTTATTTGATGTGCGTAGATTGTAGCTTGGATGTTCGGCTGGTTCAACTAGTTCGGATAGAGGACTAGTTTGCGGAAGAACCTTTTTTCTAAAAAATTTTGAACATAACAGTTCGCGCCTAGAATACAATGTTGGGATATTGAGATCTGATAAGGATTCTTTGTATGATGACGATGGGTTAATTATTTTCAACGCTCTTGACTGGATCCTTTCTATTTCTTTGGATAGGTATTCAGGTATGTTATAATGCCAAACTTTGGCGCAATACTCCAAGATGGGTCTTACACATGAAAAATACACTGATATCAATGTTTTAGTGTCACAACGAGCTCGCTTGAGGAGTCTAAGCATGTAAAGGCGTTTTGCGGATTTTTTCACTATGTAAGCCACGTGGTCATTCCACTTTAGGTCGTCCTTGAAAATTAAGCCAAGGAGTTTAGCGGATTTCACAACTTCAATGGGCTGTTCGTCAACGAGCATTGGAGGGAAATTTGGATTGTTTTTCCAAAAACAAACGAGGATTTCTTTGCATTTACGGGGGTTTAAGGACATGTTATTTCTTGCACACCACTGCGTAATTCCTTCTAAAATAGTTTGAAAGTTCGAATCTTGGTTTCTAGAAAAGGTTTCTGAAACAGACGAATCGTCAACATATTTCCATCTATCGTCCCAATCAACCAACAAATCGTTTATCATAATCATAAATAGAATCGGACCTAAGACAGTGCCTTGTGGAACCCCGCCGTTCACTGGTTCGAAACTTGAGGTGTATTTACCTATCTTCACTCGCTGTTTCCTGCCAGTATGAAACTGTTTTACCCATGCAATAAGAACGGGATCGATGGCCATTTCCTCCATCTTCTTGATAAGAATATGGTGATCAATCTTGTCGAAGGCTTTACTAAAATCCAGAAGCAGCACACGCACGCATTGGTCAGATTGGTCGGTAGTTCCATACAGATGATGAAAAAAGGATAGAAGAGCGTGAGTTGTGGATAAGCCGGCGAGTGATCCGAATTGTTTCCTGTCAACGAGGTGTCTGATCTGTGACATAATCCACTCTGCGACAAAATGTTCCAAGGTTTTTGAGAGAATTGGTGTTAGAGATATTGGGCGTAGATCATTTTCAATTTCCTTAACATTATCTGTTTTACGAATAGGTATTACATCTGCTACTTTCCATGAAACGGGTACGACTCTCTTGGATTGACGCGTTAAAAATTTCAGCAACGGGTGATGAGAGTTCCATGGCAAACTCGTTTAAGACCCAACTTGGTAAGTTGTCAGGACCCGAGGCTTTAGTGCGTTTGAGGTTGGAGAGCTTCGTAAAAACATCTTCCGGAGAGATGTGGTATTTTGAAATAATTTCGTTAACTACAGCAGGATCAGTTTCAACGTTTTCCAATTGGCTGTTTAGAGGTGGTAGAGAGTTAGTGATACACAGGAAGCTTTCATTAATTTTTGTTGCTAATTCGGTTGAATGGAATTCTTTGCCCGATACAAAAACACTGGATACTGGTAATTTCTTAGGAAGTCCTCCAAGTTGTTTGATGGATTTCCACCAGGAAGCTACATTGTCACAGTTTTTTACCTTATTTGCAAAAAAGGAACTCCTAAGACTGTTATTTAGCCTGTTAACTTTATTTCTCAATTTTTTGTAAACAGGAGGGTCTTTGGACATTGCTTGTTGTCGTTGCTGGATTAGACTCTTCAGTTCAGGAGTAATCCAAGGCCTGTCTGTTGGGTGTTGTTTGATTTTTCGGAGTGGGAAGAAAATTTCGATAGCAAAATTTAGCAAAGATTGGAAAGCAGCGAGTTTTTCCGTACAGTTTGATAGTGTTTCAAGGAATGACCAATCAGTAGATGCTAACCATCTTCCAAAACAGGACTTCATGCTTGGCTTTACATTTCTTCTAAAAATTGATTCTACTTTCGTTTTGTGAGTTCTCCTTAAAGGACGAATAAGTAGGGAGTTATGGTCACTTAAGCCGATTCCGGGTAGAATTTGAGGAGTGCTATAATGGTGAAACAGGTTGGTGAAAATTAGGTCGAGGATTGCAGCACCGCGTGTTGGATTTTTAACGGTTTGTCGCAGGTTAAAATGGTTACTAATATATCGGTAATTTAAACGATTAAAATCGCCAACCAAAATAATTCCAGCATTAGGATATTTGTTCAAAGCGGCATCCAAAGATGAAATTAGGTGATCCGTAAAAGTAGCATCATCGTCTTGTGGTGGGTGGTATATAATACCGATAATTAGGCAAGAAAAGCCTCGTGGGAGTCGGTTCGGACGGAGGTATACCCAAAGAGATTCAAATGGGGAAT